ATGAATAAGGAGCTCAGAGAGTATAAAATCTGCATAAGTTATTTGAAAAATCAGGAAAAACAAACAATTTTATAAAGTTATAAAGTAGAAGTTGACTTTAACCTACTTGTCATTAATCTACACCTTTATTAGCTCAACATAAATAATAAGAGACTGGCTTACAGTATCCTCATCATACTTACAGCCATGAAATTGGCCAGTGTGCTGTCGATGTCACCTGACTGATTGTGTTGAGAATTTGCGGCTGACCGATGAGAATCTCCCGCATCCTCTTCATCGCTATCCTCATAGGCTCCGAGCAAAGACAACCCCTCTACAAGGGAAAGCAAAAAAGCTTTGTTCAGCGAAATGAAATAAAGTCTTGAATCTGCTGCTTGAGAATGACTGCAGCAACACACACGAAAAGAGAGAGGGAGAGAAAAACACTTCACCTGTAGCTTTTACTGCTGGAGCCTTGATGTTTGTGCGTCTCACGAATCTATGCCCATCCCCATCCTGTTCATCTGGGGGAAAAAACCAAAGTTTTGTAGTAAAGTATTGTCGCTTTTAACATTACAGGTATTCATAGACTAAACAAAAAGCATCGCAGTTAAAGGGTATCGATCCCCCATTTCTTTTTGGCTAGCTGATCCTATCCTATCTTCTAACATATTTTGTAAGATAAAGTGATGATGTTCCCCGAACTGTTAGCTTAGCGCACTAGCCTATAGCTTCTGGTAGAAGCTAAAATTAAAAAAATAATTCATAATAACTACAGCTCTCAGCTGCAGTTTCTCAGCGACGGTGTATATTTGCAGCATATGTTAAGTAACTGGACAGCTAAATATAAAAATAACAGTATTATTGTAATTAATGATAATCAGATGAGCCCGTTGTTCGCACCTCAGGTATTTAGCACTAGGCTAGCCTGCCGCTAACATGCTACTGAGATAAAATACCATCAGATCCCGAGGGCGCTTCTTCTCTCTCTCCAACATTCACGCCGCGGTTCCCGGGTGGGGAAAGCTGCAATATAGTTCTCCGACCGACGGCTCCTCCAGGGAGGCGACTTTTCTTCCCCATCTCTGTTTATGTGTTTGTAGGCCTGCTTCCTTCGCTGGCGACGTTAATTACTGCTTTTTTTCTACGTCGCTGCTTCGAGCTGGCACAAAAGCTTTTCACTTCCGGGTCACGGTGTAGTGTTTTGAGCATAGTCTCCGGAAATTCACTGTGTAACCCGGTAGGCTAATTTGCTATCTTAAATTCACAGTCTGAGTGAAACCAACACAGTCCAGACTTTAGAAAAACAGGATATTTGTTTTTGCCGAGTAGTTTATTTCGCCCGTGACGGTAGCTGCAACTATCACGGTTAGCGTGTAGCCGGTTAACCAGACTTGAAATGGAGGGTGAAGATAAGCGATTACACGGTTATGGAGGAGACCCACCCACTGATGCATCAAGGTAGGGACCTTCCGCTGAGGCAGCGGTCCACGGGAATCCAAGGAGCAACGACTGTCCAGAACGGGACCAGAAGAAGGTCGGTGAGTTCCGGGTCGGAAACATTCGGAGGTGCCATGGGACCACTTCTGCACTGGCTGCACGATGTGGCAGCTGTCACGCTCCTCAAAGCCCGACGGACACTGCTTCAGGCAGCCATCCTTTTTTGTGTCCTAGTGCTGCTGCTCTGGGTGTCCATCTTTCTCTATGGGAGCTTTTATTACTCTTATATGCCTACCGTGAGCTTCTCCACCCCAGTGCACTTCTTCTACACTGCTGACTGTGATACCTCGGAGACGAGACTTTGCTCCTTCCCCACAGCCAACATCTCTTTCATGAAGAATGGCAGAGATCAGGTGATGGCCAATGGTCAGCCTTACCGAATATCTTTGGAGTTGGAAATGCCTGAATCGCCAGTGAATGAAGAGCTGGGTATGTTCATGGTAAAGATGTCTTGTTATACCAAGGGTGGAACGACTGTCTCATCAGTTGGAAGATCTACAATGCTGCATTACCGCTCTAAGCTTCTGCAGACTATGAGTACCTTAGTGTTCGCTCCTCTTCTCGTCACTGGCATGGCGGAGCAGAAGCAGCTCATAGAGGTGGAGCTGTTCTCAGACTTCAAGACCAACGCTTATCAACCCACTATTGGTGCAGTCATTGAGATCCACTCAAAACAGGTTCAGATCTACTCATCTCAGCTCCGTATCCACGCTTACTTCACTGGTATTCGATATGTTCTGTATAACTTCCCCCTGACATCTGCAGTGATTGGCGTAGCGACCAACTTTGCCTTCCTCAGTGTCATTGTGCTGTTCAGCTACCTGCAGTTTATATGGGGTGGACTCTGGCCTCCAGATCAAGTGAGAGTCAGGGTTATGATGGGAGACGACACCCGCATCCAGCAGAGGAGAGAAGAGGTCCGAAAGCGCATGGAGAGGGAAAACTCTCAGAAGGAACTTAATTCTTCTAAAGTGACTGGATCTGTGAGTGAGTCATCTGATTTTCAGGAGACTGGCACAGGCACTGAGCTGTCAAAGAATGCCTCTGTAATCCCAGATTCCTTGGGGCCTGATGTTCCAGATAGCAAGGAAGAGGAGTCTCATGAGTCTGATGGGCCAGAGGTGGAAGAGAATTCTCCACCTCAGCTGGGTGAAACAGTACTACGGCAGAGACCTGGACCCTGGATGAGCCTTTGAACCCTGTCACCTCACACAGTTACAGTACCTGTAGGATATGCTTATATATTCCATTATCACTCTTTAGCAGTTTGAATGTGATTTGGCAGATCGTGATAGATTGAAGCATACCTACTGTTCCAATTTGATCAAATTCACATGCATGACTGTAATCAGTACTAGCCACATTGTTTTAGCTGGAACACTTCTCATTTTGACAAGAGGGTTTTTTTTGTAACTTTTAGTGCTGCTTATTTCTTTCTTCTGGTCTTACAATTCTTGTCTTTGTTACATTTGAGTTTATTCTTTCCCACATCAAGAGGTGCTACATTCCAGATCTGGCTTGTCTAACAGTATTCTCTATCGTCACATAATGCCAACAGCTTAACACACCCTTTTAAGTCAGTTCAATCTCCTCATGTGTTACCCTTACTTCTCAGTTCAAACATCATTAAATATGATGCTGCTTTTGAAAGTAAATGCTTTGCAATTGAAACAAAACTGCAAAAGACTGATGCATTTTCTCAGAGGGTCATTGAGAGACCAATTAGATTTGGAAATTTTGGTGGAAAAAGACAGCTATGGTAAAAGGTGCAAAGAGCCCAGCCTGAGGGATCTAAAAAAATTATGTTTTGTTTGTTTGTTTGTTTGTTTGTTTTAATATTATAAATACATGTTCTTTTTCAGTGTACCACATGACTTACCTAGTGTGGCATATTTAGTTAAAGCTTGACTCTTTTATACAGTTGTGGTTCATTCTATGAGGTCTTTATTATTAAGTGCAGTTTGCATTCTGCTGTTTGTTAAAAAATATTATTTATTCAGTTTTCATCACAACCAAGCACCAGAACATTTTAGATGGGTCTTTTAAGTAATATAAGTTTATTGATAAATGTGAAACTTTCTTTATTTATCATTAATGACTATGGAGAATAAGAGGAATAGTAAAGTTACTGTAGAATTGAAGCTGATGTTAGTATGTGGCTCAGCCTCCATGTGTTTAACCTGCACTTCAGGGGTGCTTTGGATCCAAGTAAGTTTAAGTAAAGGAAGTGGGCAAGTTGTGTTTTCGTTGGACTTTGAACCAAAGATATTTATGTATGTAATATAATGCACTCATAATCTCTCATCTTGTATCCTGAGAAAATACGAGTAGATGTTATGTGTTAAACAAATTAAACACAGTTAACTTCTTTATTGTCACCATAATAAAGCAACTCTAGCTACCAACTGAATTTTTAATTCCTATAGAGAAATCTGATGACTGTCTTGCAGTCTTACAGTAAATTACTTAATAACAAATTTACATTACATTACATATACATTTGAGAAATGTCAAATCATCGACAAGTTAACTTGTATCTCCAGTAAACATGTCCTGAATACTGGGTTTTTAACATTTTAAACAAAAATATGTTTACTTCTTTTTGTTCCAATCTCTTGTACAGATAATTTACTGGAAATTCTAAGCAACTTCTGATGGCTAGTTCCAGCAGGGTACACAAAGCCCAAACTCGTTTCTTCAAACTGACAGTGAATTACACACTTATCAGATCTCAATCCCATAGCACCTTTGACATGTGGCGCTACAGGAGATTTTTATCATGTGATGCTATCATTTCAGCATAGACCAAAAGCTCAGAGGAATGTTTCCAGCATCTTGTTGAATCTATGCGAATTAACACAGTTTTTTTAAGGGAAAAGCAGATTGAACCTGGTGCTAGCACAGTGTACCCAATAAAGTGGTCAGTGAGTGTGTGTGTGCAGAGAGAGCAGCAATGCAAACTCAAATGGTTTGTAATAAGTTGTGATCTGCAGATACTTAAAGGGTTAACATTGATGCTGTTGGCTTGTATTAAGCATGAAATCTATATATAGGTATGTGTCACACTTAAGCATAGATTAAATAACATTACAGCTATTGGTTTGAAAAAAATCCTGCAACTTCACATGACGCCTGATTTTGTTATAAAGGTAAAAACGTACCAAAACTCTGGTGAATGCTTTTGAATGACTAAACATAAAGATGTTTATACATTCACAAACCTTCAAATTTAACTATACTGATTTAAAAAACAAAATAGATGTTGTGTTTACTATAAGATTAAATAAGTTTATTCCATTGTTACATTAAAACATAATGTTAAGCACATAAAACATAACAAAATCAGATTGATATATATGTAGTTTATAATAGGACCATACAAATGTAAAAGATTGCCTGAAATCATAATAAATACTATAACGTAATATAAGTATACATTTAGGTAAAATATTATGCATTCATATATTTAAAAAATCAAATACATGTTATAGAATAATATAAAGATCTATGAAAGGTGGAAGCACAGAAACCAGTCGTAAATAATCACATTTCCAGAAGAAAAAACAATTTCAAGCCCTTTCAATCTTTTTTTTTTTAATGCATTTTGTTTAGAAAGTTTCCAAATGCCCAGATCATATATCGTGGAATTACTTTTAAGCTTGTTTACAGAACATTTTCCTGGTACACAGGGGAATTGCAAAATTGCATGTATGATCTGTTTCAAACCAGAACCTTACAGCAACGACATTATGGCCCATTAGCAGTCTTTATTCAAAGCCACAGCTCCAATCTAGTCGATGAATTATGCATTGGTCTGGATACAGAGTGCACTAATTGACTTAAACCATCCATCTCTGGTATTAAAATCCTCAGCAGGTGCAGATACTATCTTGCACTGCTGGAACAAAATGTTTTCTAATGCTTTGCACTGTAAAATCAGAAGTCACAAACTGTGAATTATACTGACTATAAAAGTATAAAAGTAGAAACTAATTCTCAGATCACTGGACAGCAACAGCTGCATGGCTGATTTACTAGAATAATGTTAATGCCTGTTTTGACACATTGCCTTGCAAACATACTATGTGAACTTGGCAATACACAAACAATATAATACATGCAACATTCCAGAGGGAAAAGATCAATTAAAAAGTTTACGGTGTTGAAATGAATAATTTCAAGGCATGCAGTCTTTTTATTTTGTTTTTTAAATGTTGCTTTTATGTCGTGATTCAACTATCCCATTTTACCGACTATGCATTTTGGATTTCATTACTTTATGGCCTTTATAAGGACAGTTCAATCCAAAATAAAGTCATAATCCTAAGATATGTAAATGCAAACATAACTAGTATATCTAAAACTGGCCAACTCTCACCAAACAATCTGATAGACAAGTAGCACAGCAGGCCAGTTGAGGGTGTGTGTGTGTGTGGATTTGATTTAAGAGGTGAACTTTCCCTTTTAAATGATTGGCTTTACCATATATGGACCAAATACCATCACCCTGACGGTATTTGTCATGCCACTCTGCTTTAAGTGCTCCAGGACGCCACTCGAGCCTGGCCAGTCAATCCCGGCTCCCCACAGCTGAAGGTCACTTTGGTCCTTAACCTTGAATGTTCTGTTGCTCTTCAGGATGGACTTCGACAACCTCAGCTGTAGTCTCACTTGCTGCTTTTGAAGCATCATCTTCCTGCTCGTCATCTGAGCTATCAGCCCATCGCCCAACCCTTCTGACTCCCTCAGCCACTGCTGGGGCATTAACACAGGGGTTGTGGTCATAGATCACAAGTTTTAACCCCTGCATGTGAGAAAGGCTAGGAAAATGACGTATTCTGTTCCGATCTACATCAACAACAGCCAGAGAGTGCATTTCAAGCAACACTGGTGGGAAATCTGGCAGTTGGTTCCCAGCAAGCCAAATACTTCGCAGCTCGTGCAGCCGTCCAAATTCTTTGGGTAAACTCCGTATCTGGTTATATCCGAGGTGCAGGGTCTTTAGATTTGACAGCTCACAAACAACCTTAGGGAAAACAGTGAAGCAATTAGTCTCCAGCCACAGAGTGCTAAGTTCCCTAAGCTCTCTCAGCTCTACGGGGAGGTGATAAAGCCTGTTATTACCCAAGTAAAGAATACTAAGCTGGGGCAACCTGCATATGGCTAGTGGGAGCTCCTCAAAGCAGTTAAAATCGAGGGCCAGAAGTTGCAGCTTTCTCAGGCTCTGCACTTCAGCCGGTAAGCTGCTGAGGTTGTTGTCACTCAGGTAAAGCTTCACCAACTCATTGAAGAGACAGGCAGCAACAGGCAGCTTTCGCAGCTGTCGGCTACTCAGGTCCAGGGTCCGATCTAGTGGCATCTCCTTCAGGTCCCCAACTAAGAAGCGCTGGCAGCGTTCAGAAGGAATGAAGGCGAGAATACTTCTCATGGCATTGCCCATTTTTCTTACTGTTTCTGCCACAAGACTGTTACTCGACATCCATCTCCTTTATCTTCAAGTGAATTTCATGGTGTTCCATTAACACTCCTCCACTTCCCCTCTGCGTTTATTCATCTTGATAATCAAGAAAAAAGAAACAGTGAAATCATACAACAGCTTAGGAAGGAGGATGACACATCAGTTATATTATGAAGTGCATCCTTTAATGTAATAAAGGGGATGTTGTTTCAAGGTAATATATAATAAAATTAAACAGAAAAACATTGTAAGTGTTAAGATGTTCATACAAAAAATTCAAAATACCTTCTTTCTAATGTCTTGCTGATGATATCCAGTATGACTCCCAGTATCTCCTACAGTAAGCCATTTGTTTATCCAACTTAATGAGCTGAAAACTTATTGTATTCCCTGGGCAGATATTTCCCAGTGCAGTCCTCTCACTATCTCTCTGTGGCTCCAAGCTCTGCCAGACTCTCATGGCTATAGCAACCACTAGCTCTCTCCTCCCCATTTGTGCCTAATGACTTTCCCCTCTTCTTCTCTGAGATGACAGAGGTGGGAGAGAGAGAAACAGGGAGGGGCAGGGTGACATGGATAAGCAGAATAAGTGCTTTGTGATGAAAGAGCAACAAAGGTCATTTGCATTCTGCTGTAATCATCCCAGAGGCAGTCTTGGGTGGAAGCCACTGGGCTCAACAGGTGAAATGTTCTTAGCAATTTGCCAGTGTTTGCAGGGATATCAGATTACTTTGATTACAGTATACTATGTTTTCAGTTATGGAACATCTCTGTAGATTTGTGTTTTGCCAATGCCACATTGTATAGTCTTGGAAATGGGTTCATTTAAAATCAACACATAGCAAGTCAAATCTTCCAAATCCAAACAATCTTCATGCAAGCTTATACTCAAAGATGAATATCCTGTAAGTAAGCTGGATATCTTACAAGAGGTGTGAAGTGTCCATGCTATCTGACATATCTTCATTGGGGCTATTTTCCAACTAGATAAAATTAGGAAGGGATTTCATTGTCCTTATCTGAGGGGGCAATAGTTGACCCTCATCTGCTTTCACTCACTGACACACTGTTTTTATCACTTTCCCGCAGCCACTTACTGCCAGAGCACAATGGTGTGACTGTCATAAAAAACCTGTTCATATTAAAAATCTGGATATCTCACAGGAAGGGAAGCACAGATATAATATATGGTTCCAGGGTGAAGTAACTGGAATGGAAACATAATTAATTTTATACCTGCCTTTTCTACTGTAAAACCCATTTATTTCCCCCCCTTACACTAGGCTTACTTGTTGTTCCCAAAGCTTTCAGCTATGTCCAGTTCTTTTCCTCAGCAGATAAATAATGATGATTGATGGTTTGCCAAACACTTTAAGTCTAACTGATAAAGGATCATAATAACAGCCTTAAGACGCCATCTGCTGAGGAAGTCCATACAATGTGGTTTTAAGTTTCCGGGCCATATTAAATTCATGTGAAGCTGCTGTTTTCCAACCTCACTGAGTAATTCATGCCACTGTGAACAGTGTTAGCTCCTGCAGGTCCACTTTACAATACCTCTGACTACCAGGCTTTTCTCAACTACTCATTTTATGTAAGATATGAACAGATATAGCCCCCAGTTTGTTGTGTGCTAATTTGATTAAATGTAGAAATACAGTACAAACAAACAAACAAAAAACAGAAATGTTAAGTAAAAAAACAACCAAAAACCCAGTTGTGACATAAGGCCCTTGTCAACATGCAAAGTTCATGTTTTTGCACAGAAACCTGTGAGATTTGGGATACTCTATGAGATATGTGTTAAATGTGGTTGGTAACCAAACTTTTATTGCTGACAATCACATCCTCTGCAGTATGTAAATCCACACATTTATTTTACTGGAGTGAGACACCTGATGTTCACACGAGGGAGACAAAAACTCGACAGTGTCATATTTGCTTTAAATGACTGCAAACTCTTCTTTTTTTCTTTCCCCCTCCGTGAAGTACTTTTCTGGATATCTGTTGGTTCTTCTCCCAGCACCCTGTTAGGGAAACTATCAGATGTGTTCGTTTTTGTGTACGGAAGTGATCAGCAGGTTGTAAGGTCAGGGGGTAAAGGCTAGACCTCTTTCGATTGAGAATACTCACAGCCATCTTGGATCTAACGAAGCGAAGGGAAATTGATGCGGTGAGATTATTTTACTTATTTTTGTTCTTATGTTAAAATTGCCCTATGTAAATTAAACTCCGTCAGCTGGAGCTTTTTACCTCCCTTGCTTTCTTTCGTTTAAATACGTAGCACGTCGTTAGCCTTTAGCATCCGCAGATTGTCGCTATTGGTCTATCTGCTCCTACTGCCACTGCCTGCAATCGGAGCATAAACTGAGCCGTGAAAACACACAGCTGACAGTGGATAAACGGAGGCAAAGAGGGCCAGTGTTACTGGTAGCTAAACCACTGTGTATTTCTCAGTTTAAACGCTCTGTTACTTTGGTTGTTTTTAGAGTAGCCAGTTAGCAAGCTGACGTTAAGCTAGCTAAGCTAACTCAAAGTGACAAGCACCTAGCCTGCTAGTGTTAGCTACCTAAACTAGTGTTGGCTAGCCTGTTAGCTTTGTTGCTGTTAAACACATCAATAGTAAAGTTTAACGGGATGGAACTTAACAACCAGTTCTGCTGTCATCTCATTTAGTTAACAGGTATCGTAGGGCTGCAGTTTTTGTTTTGTTTTTTGTTGTAAAAGTCAAATAAATCAATCTTCATTTTAAATTCGTAGAGAAAGCAACTATTCAAAAGTTTATTTTAAGAACCGTAAGGTGCCAGTTGTAGCCCATTGAATTACAAAGAAATTATAACATATTGCATTTCCAGATGCTTCCATTTAACTTAGCCTTGCAGTCATATAAGATATCTTTTTGTTTATACAAAGGTTATGAAATATCAACGCTGTGTGGCGGCAATAAAGTTCCAGTTGCACAAACAATACAATGCGGTGCTGTTAGTTTCAGACATGGGCTATTCAGTCTCAGATCATTGGGGTTTTTAACAACATTTTCTGCTCAGCCGTCTTTGATTTGCCTAAAAAATGTGTAGTCCAAAGTTTAAACATATAGACTGATTGCTGTGAAATTTCAGCATCGCATAGGAAGTACTTTAAATATAAAGTACTTGAGATATACAGTACTGTGCAAAAGTTTTAGGCAGGTGAGGAAAGATGCTGTAAACAAAGAATGCTTTCAAAAATGCAAGTGTTAATCATTTAGTTTAATCAAACAACAAAATGCAGTGAAGGAACAAAAGAGAAATCTAAATCAAATCAGTATTTGGTGTGGCCACCCTTTGCCTTCAAAACAGCATCAATTCTTTTAGGTATACTTGCACACAGTTTTTGACGGAGCTCGGCTGGTAGGTTGTTCTAAACATCTTGGACAACTAACCACAGATCGTCTGTGGATTTAGGCTTGTCGATGATATATACGTGTGTGTTTCCCCCCACACATTGATTTGATATCTGAAGCAGTGTTTGAACTCGAATATCTGAGAATCTGTTAAAGAGAACTGGCTTCTTTTACCATGAAAGTGAATCAGGTTCTTTAAATGGGAGCAAATACAGTAAAAAGTTCCAAGAATTATTCAAATGTGTTTAAAAAAAAGTCTCATAGACTAACAAAAAAGAATAACATTAGTTATTAGTTAGAGACAGTTTCTGGAAGGTATTGACATATTTCACAATAGTACAAAATCAAACATGTAGAATGCTTAATCACAGAAATGAAGAAATAGTTATATTTATTCAGCTGCCATTCTGGATTGAGGAAGCCTAACAAATTGTACTGCATAACAAAAATTTCAGCCTAGTAGTCTTACCAGATTAGAACAGATTTCTCTGGTTTCCAAGGTGCTCTCATTATAACTGAGAAAGTACTTCTGCTAAACATAATCTATGCAAATTTGTTAGTTTCACTTGCTCCCTGACCCTTGCTCTAAGTTTAAAATGTAGTCACAGGGATTAAAAATGCAACAAGTACTCATGTAAAAAAAAAAAAATCACAGATACAAATAAGTATAGCAAAACAGGAGTAATGAGTCAGTAGTGTTCCAAGGCCAAGTTGCCATCAACACAAGGTGCAATTGGCAGTCTGATACAAGACTCTAACCCTAGGAGCTAAATTCTAATCTTAATTCCCCGTATGTGCTTCTTTAACTCTAATCCTTACCTATTAGCCAGTATGCCTTGAGCTGACTCCTATTCAAAACCCAGGAGGAACCAAAACTGGGATTCACCCCCTGCCTGCTTACCCTTCTGAACCTGCTTCCACCTTCCTTACCCCAGAGGAATGCTGAGGGGGTTTTAGGACACACAATACACCTTAACGGGTGGTTTGGATTGCTTGATGCCAATTTATTATCCACTTCTGATCCCTGCAATGTCTCCTTGCTAATTTCTTCTCCCCATCACAGACTTAGTAGAGTAGTATAAGGTGCAGGGTACTAGTGGTGACATATGTTTGTCTTGCATTATCTTGACCAAACCAATTTGGCCGACGGACCATTTCGGAGAGAGTCTTTAGCAGAAAATGCGTACCCCTGTTCCTAATTCTTACCCTGCTGCTGCAACTGTGAGCAGAGATCAGGCAATTGCCACGCTGACTGCCTGAATGAATGCTGCAAGAATTATTCTATAAATACTAAAACTAAAAAAAAATTTAATGTCCAATTTTGAAACCATAACATTTTTAGGCTAGTATAGAAGTTGACCAGAAAATATTGTATAGGTTGAACCTTACTGGCTCTGAATTTTATCTAGTTCAAGTAGAAATCTAAAGAGAATTAAAATTCAAATCTAAGCCACAGTATAAGTTCAAAAAGTTCACTCTTGAGCGTCTGCTTTCTTTCACATGCACATTTTAATTAATGTTCCTTTCTCTCTCTTCAGGTGACAAAAGGCATGTTTGGTGCTAGAAAGAAATTTGTAGAGTTCGTTGACGTTGTCGATAACGACTTTACCGATGAAAGCATGTACTACAACCAGCCGACGATGTTTCCACATCGGTCGGATAAAGATGTGAGTTTTGTGTGCTGGTACACCTTTCTTACCTGTTGAGATTTTTTTTTCCACATTTATCTTACTCTGTTCTGTCTTTGAATGTTTTTCTCCAGATGCTGTCCTCTCCCTCACCATCGTCATCGGGTCAGCTGTCGCAGCTCGGTGCGAGTTTATATGGTCCACAAAGTGAGTGCTGACCTTTATCTTACAGCCTGTTACATCAGTTTTGTCATTTGTGATGGACTTAAAATCGTAAAGACAATTCTGCTTTTTACCTCTGAACTAGAGTTACTTAAAGTTTGATTGTGTTATTTGAACAGATAACTGAAAAGCTTTCTTTTGTCTTTGTGCAGGTGCACTCGGCTTCTCAGTAAGAGGCATGGGAAACAACACACCTCAGTTAAACCGAAGTCTAACGCAAGGGTCGCAGCTACCAAGTCATATCACCCCCACAACAGGAGTCCCCACCATGTCTCTCCATACCCCACCATCACCAAGCAGGTGAGTGTGAACTTGACCGATTAATCGTGCTGTTTAAGAAAACTTTGAATTCACTAAATTGGACGATGATGTTTTAACAGGGGGACGTTACCGATGAATTCGAGGAACGTGCTGAATCACTCTCAGGTCGGTCAAGGCATTGGGATAAGCGGCAGGACCAACAGCATGGGCAGCTCGGGGCTGGGAAGCCCCAACCGTAGCTCACCCAGTATCATCTGTATGCCCAAACAGCAGCCAGCACGCCAGCCCTTTACCATAAACAGGTAGATGGATTTAGTATTTATTGCACATATCCACCAGTGTTTCAAAGGAACATGGCCCTGTACTATGATGCAAATTCAACATACACAGGATGTCTTTCTGCTATCTGGGTTCAGTTATCTTAAAACTGGTGATTGAGCCAAGCAGTCACAAGAAGCTGATTATCAACTTAACAAGGCAACCCAGGGTTTCTCAATCTAGCTACCAGCATGAAAGAGGTGCTGTTTACAGCTTTTGACCAATCTGAAATGTGGATAAGTCTGTTGGCAGCAGAGCAGCTGATTTTGCAGAAAATGACAAAACTGTAATATGAGGAAAAATCTGAAGAAAATAATACATGCTGAACCCAAACCTTTATATGCATTTTGTGTGTGTGTGAGAGAGTTTTTTTTTTGTTTTTTTTTTAGCCATATGAATGTATGTGCGCTTTAAGTGTTTGATCAGGGAGATTCCCAGAGGCCTACTGTATTAATAAAGTTTAGCCTATTACAGCCTGAAAGAAAGCGGGTAAGAATGCAAGCTGCTGAAGTTAACAGGCATCTCACAGCTATCACAGCTCAATCAAGAACAGGAGAAACTAATACAGTGAATATTTACTTTACATTAAAGTTTCGATGTACACAAGATGTTTTTTGTTTTTTTTAATCTTTCAGCTTTATCCCGGTCTGAGATTTAAAAAAAAGAAACAAAAAAGTTCAAAACAAATAAGTAAAAATAGGCGCCCCGTTTGTAAATTTAGAACAATAAAATGGTTTGCACCCAACAGGAAAAATAAACTTATGTCTAAGAATCTGTTTCTAATCCAACACAGTGAACTACACAACTTTATCCATGCACTGAAATCCAAGGAACAGTGACATTTTGCAGAAAACTGATTGATGAGTAGGCACTGGTTTTGTACCTGTTTATCTTTAACTGTGAACGTAACATGCTCTGAAACAGGTTAGGATGTAAGTTACCATGGTGATGTACCACCTTTGTGATAATGAAAAGCCAGGGTTAACCTTGAAGTTACCTGGATGAGCTCAAATCTTGCTTCATAGGGCTGGCATGGGTTACCTTCGGTGTGTCCTTTTGTGTGTACAGTTGCTTTCTAAAACATCTTTTTCTAATTAAGGAAATATTTGTATCCTTTTTCTTTCTTTTTTCTTATTTTTTTCTGTCTGTGCAGCATGTCAGGATTTGGGATGAACCGCAATCAAGCTTTCATGAACAACTCATTATCAAGCAACATCTTCAACGGCACAGGTTGGTTGTTCACTTTGTCTAACCATCAGGTAACCATTAGGTTTCAGCTACTTTTAGACTAACATTGCTCTGTCTGCGTGTGTTTAAAGCATAAAAAACAGCCACAGCCTGATAAATAATACTGTTTCCTGCACAAAATCACAGCTTTCCATTAATGCTGCTGTTAGGGTCTTATAAGAGTTAACAGCAGCAAACAGTGCCACCCATCATACATGAACTGTGTATCCTTGAAATGAATTGCAGGAAATTAGGTCTGAATAAAAATCTCATTAAACTGATCTGACTCTTTTTAAACTGTTACAGTGGGGCAAAAAAGTATTTAGTCAGCCACCGATTGTGCAAGTTCC